CGCCCCCCACGTGACGCCCGGTCCGGGCCTCCGAGTCCAACGGGGAGGCGCTGCCCGTGGGGGTGGGGGCCCCCCCGCAGCGCCGCCCTTGCCACTGGCTGCCACGCGCCTGTTCTCGGCTGACTGGCAGCCTCCGCTGGAGCCGGTCCGGCCGCCCCGTCCTGCCTCGCCCGTCCTGTGCCCTTGGGCCGGGGGTGGGGGCGGCAGGAGTCAAGGTCAGAGTGCTGGGCCGGGGCCAGAGATGCTTGGATTTTATTCTGAGTGCAGTGGAAAACCGTTCGAGGGTTCGGACAAGGAACTGTCAAGATCTGATTTATGTATTAAAAAGCTCACTCAGCAAAATAGTTAGTGTTGCGATTTGCCAGGGTGCCAGGCAGAGCTTCCCCCAAGCGCCCGGCAGTCTGGGGAGGACAGGTCTCGGCCAAGCCCTGGGGCCCACCTCCAGGCAGGCCTGGGGAGGGCAGCCAAGAAGAGTCGGTATGGGGTCCCTGACCGTCGCATCAGGGAGTGATTTAGCCAGGACAGCAGTGGCTAGCTGCCACCCCCAGCAGGCCACCGCCTGATGCAGCCTGGCCTGGGCAGTGACCTCACGCAGGTTGGAATGTCCCCAGAGTCAGGCCAATTCCCCGCCGCAGGGGGCAGGAGATGTTGATGTTTACCCCAGGCAGGCCAGGGTTGCCATGGGGAATCGGGCTGCTTTGGGGGCTGGAGGGTACAGGCAGGGCCTCCCCATAGTGACCCCAACTCGTGACCCAAGATCAGTTGGTTGCTTGCGCACTGTTGGGGGGGCGTGGGTGGCGGTCAGGCCCCATCAGACCTCGCCTCTTGCTCCCATCCAAGACGGGGCCTGAGCAGACAAGAAAAAGAGGAACCACAGCGCAGACTGAGATTTGGCCAGTGTCCATCTGGGCTGCTGACCACGGGGCAGCATCCCACGCAGCTGTGCTCGTGAACAGTCCCCGTTCCCCAAAAGGCGGAATGTGGGATGAAAGCTAATCTGGCTGTCTCCACGCAAACGTTTTGGGGTTCCGTCCAAACCCGAGCACACCTGTGAGTGAAAAGTGCTATGTTCTGTGAGTCACATGTCATCCGGGTCTCCCGAGAGCAGGGGGCTGGGCTGGAGGTTGAGGGACTCTGAGCCCACCTTCAGCCCTCGCCAGCCGCCCCCTGGGCTCCTCATCTGTGCTGTGATCAGGACACTGAGGAGGCCAGCTAAGCCTGGAGGTGGGGGGTCCCGGCAGGGACACGCGGCAGGATCTGATACTACAGCCCACCCGGGCAAGGCTCTGGCGCCTTTGTAGGGATTACATGATTACTAATTGTAGCTGCGGAGTGGACAGAAGTGCCCAGTGCTATTAGGACCACCCAGATTCTGCTGCAACCGGGGCCCCAGTAGTTGGGACCCAAGTTTCCTTCAAGGATATGGTGACCAGCTGGTCCAGGCCCATCTGGGCCTTTTCCCTGGTTTTAGTGCTGAAGACCCAGGAAAACCCTCAGCCCCGGGCAAACCGGGACAGCGGGACACATCTCAGGAGCCTCCTGCCGAGGTGGAATGACTCCAGAGTGACCAGAAGGGTTATGCCAAAGCACTGCACACGCGGGCCACCTGCCATTGCTTGGGGTAGGGAGCAGTCAGGGGGCTGGGGGCCCAGCTGAAACACGAGGACAGCTGGTAGATAGAAGGCATTGTTGTAGCAGAGCCAGCCACGCTCTGGTGGGCACCCAAGCTGGGGACAGGGCGGGAAGGACCTTGGGACAATGCTGGATTGTTCCTGCCATTCAATGCACCGGGAGCTGGCCCAAGAGGCCAAGGAAAGAGATTGTTGTAAATTGCAGCCACGGGAGAGAGAAAACAGTGTGTCCTTCCACCTGACCCAGCTCCCCTGGCCAGACCCCCCACCCTGACCTTGGTGGTACCCCTACCTCCACCCTGGGAAAGCTTTGAGGTGTTCAGCAAGGACAGGCGGGCGTGAGGCCTGAGGTCTGAGGTCTGGCCTTGAGCATCAGCTCCAGGAGCCTGGGGCAGTGGGTCTGGGAGAGGATTTAATTATGCAGATCGGCTGGACCTAGGGGAGCCCGGCCTGGCCTGCGGGGCTCAGGGTTCATGTCCTTCCTGAGAAGGGCCTCCCCTTCTGCGTGGGGCTGCGATGAGTTCTCTGGAACATCTGGTCTCTGAGATTCATCTGCTTTATTTCAAGAGGCTGGAGAGTGAAGAATTATTTCTCGTCTTCTGTCCTTAAGCCCCTTTAATGAAAATTCATGAACTTTCCAGTAAAGGACATTCCGACTCCTTGTCTTAACAGTAAACTGACAGGTCCCAGCCAGTTGCGGATGGTTGCCATGGTTACTCAGGTTGCTGTGTTGTTTTATCTTGCAGTGACCCTATAGCCTGGGTGTTATTACCCCCATTTGACAGACAGGTAAACTGAGGCTCGGGGAGTGGAGGGGAATTTCCTGAGATTTCGTAACTGGTAAAGCCAGAGCAGTCTGACTCTGGGAATCTCAGCACAAAGGCGACCTGCCCCTGGTGATGCCGGGGCCTCGTTGGCACATTGCCCAACGTGCAAAGCCATCCTGAGTGGAAGAACAAAGCCCTCTGTGCATTTTGCTTTTTTTTTTTATTATAATTTTTTTTTTAAGATTTACTTATTCATGCTTACAGAACTGGGGTACAGGCCAGAGGTGTTGGGGGTGAGAGGCTTCACCAGAGACGGAGTGGGGAGCAGAACAGGCAGATTGACAAAGCACACTGCTGAGGGGAGCAGCGGGCAGGTCAGGAGAGGTCTGCCACGCCAGATGGATCTCCCTGGCGGGGGATTGAACTCATGCTGCAGTGGCTTCAGTGAGCCTCATCATGTGGTACTTTAACTTGTTGCACCACCAGGGAGAGCCCTGTGCATTTCGCTTTTAACCCAGCAGCCTATCTGTGCCAGGACTGCCCTGGTTATGTGTTCTAACCCTTTGGGGATGGTCATTAAGCATCGCCGTTGTTGACTAAGCCCTAAGTACTGAGCCTGATTCTGCCCTTCCAGCTCTGCAGGGCATAAAGAAACTCCTTCTGGGACTGCATAGGGCATGCCTTTGCCAATGCAAGTATCTCCTCTCCTCAGTGCACCCAAAGAATACCTAAAAGCTGCCCTCCACTGCTCAGATGCTTCCCACCCTGCCTCCCCCAGTCAGATCCCCGTAACCCAATGGAGTCTCTCCCCCTCACTTTCTGTCATGCTCCCCTCCCCCACACTATCTTATTAAGCTTAGCAGTGCTCCCCAAGGGACAGAGTGTGTCCCCGAGGGACACATTTTACCCATCTCTCTCCCATGCTGGTCACAGAGTGATAATTCAGTACCTGTGCTATGAATTGGCCTGAAAATTCTCCTTTGGCCTCTCCTCTAGGGAGTGGTGTGGGGGCCAGGGATCTGTTTACTAAACATTTTCTAAACATGACCACTGTCTCTGTCCCTGTGCAGGTGAATGTCTCTCAGAGCCAACAACTAACCACTGAGGTCACATGAGTTTAGAGGGGCCGTGGTGGGGAAGGGCAGGGGGCTGCAGAAGCGCCAGGCACAGCCCCAGCCTGTTCTGGGTTGGGGAGAGGAATCTGGGCAGGATGCCCTGGAGGGACACACTTCAAGGCCAGCAGGAGGTGGGAGGTGGCCGTTCCATGCAAAGGGAACAGCACTGGGAGATGCTGGCAGGTTTCGGGGGGCAGGAATGCTGGGGATATCTGCCTTTGCTCCCAGCCACAAAAATGTACAGCCAGAGCCAACACAAGGGTCTGCACGCCAGAACGGCAGAGAGGAATTTGGGGTACAAAGGGGCACACTTATACAAAGGGGAGGGGAACTGGGCGGTTAGAGAAACAGTTTAGTTGAACAGGAATTTGAGTCCCAGCTCAGCTACACACTGGCTCTGTGACCTCAGACAAGCCATTGCTCTTTCTGAGACTCACTTCCCTCAGCTGTAAAATGGGGGACAGTAGCCTCGATCCTCGACATCACTAACTGCTCGGCCATCACCTGCCTTCCCTTGTGCCCTGCCGGGAGGCTACAGACGAGGCACCAGCCGCCAGGCCCCAGCCCTCTGGTGCCACCCTCCCTCTGTGCTTGTCCGTGTCTAGAGCGGGTCCCGTGCCCTCGCCTCCCCATCGGAGATCCCACCCCACTGAGCTCCTCTGGCAGCTCTGGGGGCCTGACCTCGGTCACGTCCCCGCAGACCCGTTCTTCGGCCAGCGTTACGTCCACATCCTGGGCCGGAAGAAGCTGTACCACGTGGTTAAGTACACGGGCGGCGTGGCGGAGCTGCTGTTCTTCGTGGAAGGTCTGCGCTTCCCCGACGAGAGCTTCTCGGGCATGGTCTCCATCCACGCCAGCCTGCTGGAGTCTTTGGCCGAGGTGAGCGTGCAAAGCGAGCCCCGAGGCGGGGGTCCAGGCCCCCACCTCACCCCCACCCACTCGGAGTCTGCAGGTGCTCTGAGCCATGGCCCTGCTGTGCCTACTGCCCAGGATGCCCCCTGGGTATGATTTCTGGCACCGGCATGCCGGTCCCTGGGTCCGCTCTCGTCCTTGCAGTGTGTGGGCCTCGTCTGAGACACAGAGCCACAGGGGTCAGGGCAAGGAGCCAACGAGGCCACACCTGTGAAGTTCATCACCCGGTTGACCCCTCTTCCTAGCCCCAGGTTGTATAATCTCTAACATTAGGCTGAACCCCAAACCCCAGTCTAGGTCCTGCCTCCAAACTGTAGCTCCCTTTTGCTCTTGGTTTGGGGAAACTGGGTGATTTCCAGACAGGGAGACTGAGTCGCAGGACTCAGTGGAGTGTCCTCTTGCTCAGGTGTGTCCTATCCACGAGACACCAGCCCCGGAACCCCACGCCCTTCGTGCTTACATATGGGGTGGCCTGGCTGCCCTTGCAGACTCAGGTTCCCGCCCCCTCTCGTCCCCCCACCACTTTGGGGCAGGACACCATGGGCCTTGCGGAGGCTGGGCCTAGTGGAGACCATGGGGATGAGCGCTGGAGTCAGACGCCCAGGCGCGAGTCCACACGGCACCAGGGGAGTGAATTACCCTCTGGGCCTTAGAGTCCCCTTCTGTCAGGTAGAAGCTACACAAGCCCCTGCTTCCTGGGGGTGTGGGCACCCAGACTTGTAAAGCTGTTTCACAGCCTCATCTCCAGCTCCCTGGGGGACGAAAAGGCAGCGCTTACAGATGGGGTGGACGATCAGGTGATGGTTTGGGGTGTGGGTTCTGCAACGGGACCACCATTTACTCACCTAACAGTCCTGTGACTCAGTCTCCCCGTCTGTAAAGCAAGGGTCAGAATAGTGTCTACCCCCGGGGCTTGTTACGAGGCAAAAATGAATCAAGGTATGACTGGAACACAGTAAGTGCTTAATAAGTGTGCTCTGTTCTCACTTTCACCCCCTTGGGTGAAAGTACTTTTTGCCAAGACTTTTCGAGCCTCTCCTTCTCTCTCCCACCCCCAGGAGATCCCCCTGACACCCATCTTCACGGACACCGTGACATTCCGGATTGCGCCGTGGGTCATGACCCCCAACACCTTGCCCCCCGTGTCGGTGTTTGTGTGCAGGTAGGCAACATGGCAGTGGCCGAGGGCCAGGGCAGACAGACCTGAGATCAGGTCCCCGCTCCATCATTGCCAGCTGTGTGACCTTGGGCAATACACTTGGCCTCTCTGTGCCTCCTTAGCTCAGAAATGCAGACATCAGTCACTGTGAGGGTCAACTGAAGCCAGCAAAGTATTAACTCATGGTCTTGGCTCAGAGATTGTGCTCTAAAAATAACTACCTTTTTTTTCTTACTCTCGGCCTTGTAGCTTGAAACCTCCTAAGCCTTGATATTCAGCTCATCTTATTCAGTCAGCAGTTTTTTAATGCAGCAACTAGTGGGTACCACCCACAACAGGATAAGGAGCAGGGAAGGAAGTGCTGTAGGTGACCCCTGCCTCAAGGGGACCCCTGAGATCCTGCGCCTGAGGGCTAGGCAAAGCTCTTCTTCAGAAATCTGGGGAGTCAGCCCTGGAAAGATTTGGGGCTGGAGCTAAGATTCTCCTCCTTATTTTTTTGGCTCATGGCCTTAGCAAACACCGCCTGAGCAGGTGAGTGTCCTTGGCCTTGACGCAGCCATCTTTGCAAAGGTGACAGTAAACAGATGTGGCCTGGTCTGCCCAGAGGCACCAACCGACATCAGCTCCTCAGTGAGCTGGCCTTTGTCTGTTCCCCCCTCTGGCTTCCCCTGCTTCCCATTTCTCAGCATGAAGGACAATTACCTGTTCCTGAAAGAGATAAAGAACCTGGTAGAGAAAGCCAACTGTGAACTGAAAGTCTGTTTCCAGTACATGAACCGAGGCGACCGCTGGATCCAGGTGAGGAGACTGGACTGGGAAGGAGGCAGCACCGGAATCAGGCCAGAGGATCCGGCTTAACATAAAATCCCTGGCACCCAACAGCTGCACCCTGGGACTGCAGGAATTCTGCTGTCAGGTCCTATGTGCACATGGGCACAGAGACGTGACTATCTAAGACATTTACGAAGACTGTAAAATATGTCCCTCACTGGGAGACTGACTAACCATTGAGCAGAATGGCCTTGGCGTGGAGTAGCATACAACAGTTTAAAAGAATGACAGCAATCCATCGTCACAGAACGTATTTCAAGTTAAGGCATTATTTACAGGATACTGTCTATAGGATGCTGCCACTTATGTCTTTAAAAACGGGGTCCATGTGAATATAGTTGTGCATAGGTGTGCAGAGACTTAGTGGAAGGGGAGGTAAAAGCTTCCACCGTCCTTTGTCTATGGGATGGAGAACAGGACTCTGAGTTCAGGGGATGAATGAGATGGGCTTTTCTCTCTGTCCTGCTGTGCTCTTTTTGTCATTTGCTCATTGTACAAATGACCTGTCTGGCCCGCCCTGGTGGCGCAATGGGTTAGGACGCAGCACTGCAAGCTAGATGCAGCCGCTTCAGTGCGAGTTCAATCCCCAGGCCCGGAGGAGACCCACATGCGCGGCAGACCTCTCCCGACCCGCCCGCTGCTCCCCTCAGCGGTGGACTTCATCAGTCGGCCTGTTCTGCTCCCCACTCTGTCTCTGGTGAAGCCTCTCACCACCCCCGCACCTCTGGCCTATATCCCAGTTCTGGATGCACAAATACATAAATGTTTTTTAAAAAATTACCTGTTACCAGGCCTCACCCTCACTCCCCCACCCCCTCGCCCAGCCCCTGTTCAGGTGGGCTGGTTTCCACCGGTGCCCCTGAGGTCATCTGACAGCTCTTCCTGGTATCCCCACAGGATGAGATTGAGTTTGGCTACATCGAGGCACCCCACAAAGGCTTCCCTGTGGTGCTGGATTCCCCCCGAGATGGAAACCTGAAGGACTTCCCCATCAAGCAGCTCTTGGTGAGAGGCACAGGCCACCTGGGGCGGGTGGGGCGATCCTGGGGACTCTTAGAGGACAGCGTGGTCACTAGCCTGCTGCCCAGGGCGTCTGCTGTCTCATCTGCAGAATGGGTTAATTGCGACCGTGACCACTGAAGTCCCAGCTGCCCTGATAACGGATGCTTTTCCAGAACACTGAAGCGTTTTCTCAGGGGGAATGGGGCGTATGAGGAGCGGACACCCTAACTGTTCTCACTGCCCTCCCGCCTCCGTGCCACCTCACAGCAAAATTTGTTTCAAAGCAGAACATTTTGCTTAAGCAATTAAGAAGCTGCTGCTCTGGTTCAAAACTCGTGTTGTGTAACCGCTCTGACTCCAGACTCCAGACTCCAGGCATTTCCGCCCCCATGTGTGCCCTCAGTATACTGCTGTGTGAGGGAGGGTTGAACTGCAATCTATGTCCTTTGGCCCCCCTCCCCCATGATCGGGTTGGGGGGGGCTTCTCCAAGTCGCACAAGGACAGTCTCCCCAGGGGCCAGCAGGGGTGGCTCACACCTGCTTCCTGAGAACACTCCCCAGTCCCCTGCCAGGGAGAGGTAGAGCCGAGGGGAGAGAGCAGGCTCTGGACTATGAGGGGGCCTGGTCCTGAGTGCCGGTCTACCACTGTATGACCGCGGCCAGGCCCCTCAGTTTACTCAGCTGTCAAATGGGCACAGATCTGCTGTGAGGGCCGAAGGCAGTGCATAGGCATCCTTGCTGCACCTGAGGAGTGCCTGTGATTAGCTGGCTGTGCCCCCACAGCCCTGGGCACGGCCCTCCGTGAGGACTGCCCCTTACTCCAGCACCAGGCAGAGTGGCATGAGACCAAGGCCTCCCGCCTCCGGCTCTCCCTCTACCTCCTGGGCGCCACCCGCCTGCAGGGCCCCGGGCTGGCCCAGATCCAAGGCCCTGGCTGCTTGGTTCCTGCGCCTTGGCCAGGCTGGGCTTTGTGTGACGTGCCTGCCTGCCGTGTGAGGCTGTGAAGACCAGCTGCCCTGGGCTCCAGCTCCCGGGCGAGACCGCGCTAATCTGCAGCCACCCGCCGACCTAGCGCGGCCAGCCCTCTGCCTCTCAGCTGGGCCAGGCTAAGCCACATCTTCCCACCCCACGTATGTTACGTAGGGATTTCTACGAGGCCAGCTTGGTCCCAGCCCCAGCCCCAATGCCAACTTTCAAACTAAGCTCCGACTTTTTTGACCAAAACATCACGAAAGGAACCTAAAAATTCACTGGGTTGTATCATTGCCCGCTCCAGTCTGGTGGAGCTCTGTGCGAAGAGCATCTGGGCCCAGTGAACAAATATGTTTATTTGGCTGGGATGGGAATCGGTTGGGATGGCATCTGTGGTAAATGGCCGCTGTCCCTGCGTGTGTAGTCAGCCTTCCCGAGGTGCGGCTGCAGTAACAAACAGCCCCCAGTCTCCGTGGCTGACAATGCTCAGCAACATTTCTTGCTTGCACTGTGTGTTGACTGCTGGTTGCTGGTCTGCAATTCTGCTTCCTCGTGCCTTTCTCCTGTGGTAACTGCAGTAAAAGTCTCAGTGACCATAAAACAAAGAGTTTTGAGGTCATCAAAGCGGAATTTGAACGGGGGAAATAGCCTGCCAGATTTTACTCTGTGCAAATTGTTCCAGCCATCACAAGTTTGAATTTAGTTTGTATAGGTAAGAACAGTGACTCACTGGTGTTGGAAATGTAAGTGTTCTTGACAGGGGCTTCTGGTCCTAATTGTTTTTTTAAAGGATTTTATGTATTTATGCATACAGAACTGGGGTACAGGCCAGAGGTGTAGGGGTGGTGAGAGGATTCACCAGAGACAGAGTGGGGAGCAGAAGAGGCAGATGGATGAAGTACAGTGCTGAGGGGAGCAGCAGGCGGGCCCGGAGAGGTCTGCCGCGCCATGTGGGTCACCTCTGGGGTGGGGATCGAACTCGCACTGAAGCAGCCGCAGCTTGGCTTAGCTTCAGTGCAGCGCTCCAACCCGCGGCACCACCAGGGAGGGCCCAGGTCCTACGTTATCTTGACCTAGAGTTATGTTGATGCCACTGTGCCCAGAGGAAGCCATGCTGGAGCTGAATCGCTTCCTTTCTGGAGAATGTGCCGTGGAGACACCAAGGCCGATCCCCAGTGTCACAGTGTCGTCCCACTCCCTGGCCTGTCCTGGGAGCTGAAAGGCGGCTTGACAGCGGGCAGCAGGTTTTCTGGAGCTGCTTCACAGACTTCAAGTCTGCGCAGGTGGCCTTGTTCTCCTGCCTGCTAAGCCAAGGAGGAGTCATTCCCTGAACATCTTACAGACTGCTCACACACTCAAGGGCCCTGGCTGCAGGAGCAGCCCGCTCTGGGGAATGTCATGCTCCTGGCAAAGGCGAAGAAAAAGAACGTTGGCGGGCAACAACGGCTGTTCACTCCTGCTCTGAAGTGGGGTACATCCCTCTGCTTTGCTTGCATTTTATTGGCCAAAGCACGTCTTGTGACCAAGCCTGCCTCAGGGCGGGGAAGTATTTCCTACCACAGAGACACCAGAGGTCACAAGTGGGATGAGAATAGCAAGTCTCTAGAAGTAATAAGACAGTCTGCCCTCATGCCTCGGGTTGCCTCATCCAACATCCTTAGAGCTGGGAGGTGAAGGATCAGAGCAATTCTGGACTGAGCAGGGACAACAGAGGCACAAAAGGACTGATCCTGAGGTCGGCAGTTTGCCTCTGGGAAGCAGACATAGCAGACCCAGATGTACACACACCCCCATTCACACCAGGTGAAAGGAGGTGAGGAGGCCCTCCCTGGTGGTGCAGCGGGTTAAAGCGCAGCCGCTCCAGTGCGAGTTCAATCCCCGCCCCGGAGGTGACCCACATGGCGCAACAGACCTCTCCTGTCTCGCCCCCTCGGCGGTGTGTATCAGTGGATCTTCCTGTTCTGCTCCCCACTCTGTCTCTGATGGATCTGCTCAACCCTGATGAGCACCTCTGGCCTGTACCCCAGTTCTGTGCATAAATAAATAAATCTTTAAAAAAAATTAAAAAGGTGGTGAGCAGGGGTCACCAGAGAGGCACCAGGTTTGGGCTGTGGGCCCCGGCTACAGAGGCTAATGAGAGGTGTGTGCCCTGTCCAGGGCCCAGACTTCGGCTACGTGACCCGGGAACCCCTCTTTGAGCCTGTCACCAGCCTCGATTCCTTCGGAAACCTGGAGGTCAGCCCCCCAGTGACTGTGAACGGCAAGACCTACCCGCTGGGCCGGATCCTCATCGGGAGCAGCTTTCCTCTGTAAGAGAAGTGGGGGGAGGGGTGGAGGGGTCACGGGGGGACTTTAGGGGTAGGCTGGGTGTCTCATACTTGGAGTGGTTGGCTGGAAGGACTAACCCCTCCCACACACTCCAGTAACACGCGCTTGGAAAGAAAGCTGAGTTCCATCTTAGTATGAATTAGGATCTAATATAGCACTAAATAAATAACGCCCCCAGATGAGAGGGGATGTAGTGAGATTATTAACCAGGGGGAGGCGGGGTGGAAGAATTCAGAAAAGGAATGGCAACCACTGAAAGATTTCGAAGGGTCCCAGCCCCAGAACTACGAGTCCCTGGCTCCCTGAACTGTCCACAGCCTCTGCTCCTGCTACCAGTCAGCAGTGAGGCTGACTCCTCCTTGGTCAGGCTGGGCAAGGAGCGCGCTGTGGGTCCTCACTGCCTAGAGGGCTGCCAGGAACCTGCCCGTGAGTCAGGCAGGACCTGGGCTCGCGCCACACGGGATTCTCCTCTTGCCTCCCGGACAGGACCAGGGGTACGTTAGCGTTGGTGGTTTGGGGCACATGACTTTGAGAGCGAATCAGGATAATGAAAAAGGGGCCACCATGAGAAGAGACACGGGAAAGAACATTCTAAATGGAATTAACAGCCAGGGCGAGGCTCTGAGTCGGTAACAAGTTTAGCACGAGGCTGAGCGAACAGCCGAAGTGAGGGAGGTAAGACAGGAGGACCAGGCGGGGGCCAGATCAGAAAGAAAGGTCATCGGGAGGCGCTTGAGTTATATTCTGTGGGTCATCGGGAGACGGTAGACAGCAGGGTGTCGAGAAGTCAGGAAGGCCTTCTTGGAGGAGGCGTCACTGAACTGATTAACGTTAAAGTTGAAGCAGCAAAAGGGCGCAGGGACGAGGGCAGGTGGGAACCATGCCTTTGCCCTAGCGCCCCCACCAGTCCAGGTAGAGCCCCTGAGCGTAGAAACTGCCTCCTCACACCCACTGGGGGCAGAAGGTGGCTCCGTGGCCTGCACATAGGTCATGCTTCAGGTAACACCTCCTTCTTTCCCTGTGGGCTCAAACCCCTTCCTGGACCAAGATCTCTCTGCCTGTAGCTCAGTCTCCTTTCCATGATATCTCTGCCGATGCCAACCAGGAGTCCCGGGGCTTCAGAGGATGCAGGCAACGGGGGGCAACCTTCTGAAGACTTACCCGCTCCCCAACCCCTCCCACCCCTACCCCCCCAGGTCTGGTGGTCGGAGGATGACCAAGGTGGTGCGGGACTTCCTGCAGGCCCAGCAGGTACAGGCACCTGTGGAGCTCTACTCGGACTGGCTGACTGTGGGCCACGTGGATGAGTTCATGACCTTCGTCCCCATCCCGGGCACAAAGGTAAGCTGGCCCCTGCCTGAGGCCACAGCCAAGAGGGCAGTGCAGAATCCATGTGCTACCAGCTCTGACCAGCAGAGGGCAGCATCTAGGGGAAGTGGCCCTAGATGGAAGGAAGGAAGGAAGGAAGGAAGAAGGAAGTAGGCTGAAGCTGGTTTGTATGTTGTTGTTGTGGCAGATAAATTTTCCATACAATATATCCAAAATATTAGCATTTCAACATGTAACCAATATAAAATTGTTAACGAGAGATTTTATATTCTTCTTCACGCTCAATCTCCAAAATCAGGTGTATAACTTACAATGTATCTCAGCTCAGACTGGACACAATTCAGGTGCCCACAGTCACACAGGGCTGAGGGCTGCCAGATTAGCTGTCGTGCTCTGGAGAGAAATGGGTGTGGCTTGGGGTCTGGAAAAGGGGTTCTTAACATTTTCTGAAGTGAAAGGGGCGGCTGCAAATCATACCTGGAACTTTTGTGCAAATGGTCTGCCCCTTGGCAGCTTGGAGAAGCTTTTCCTCTCTGTCTGACTCTGGGCTTGGCCTCGGTGGTGGGAGGTACACGAAGGGTGAGAATATTCTTCTGAAACAGAGAAAGCCCCCAGAAGCCTTTGCCACTCAGCATGGGAGGCTGGGGGTGATATGCAGACAGGCCTCGGGGTCCTTGGGCAGGAGGCCCTCGGCCTCCTGCTGGCTTCCCTTCTGCTGACACGGCCCCCCGGGCATCTCTGCAGCAGTTCCGGATGCTCATGGCCAGCACCTCTGCCTGCTACAAGCTCTTCCGGGAGAAGCAGAAGGAAGGCCATGGGGAGGCTGTCATGTTCAAAGGTGAGTGCCACAGGGTCTTAGCTATATCGGGGGCTGGGACCCTGAGGCCCTCAGGAGGGTGGGGCAGGGGAGCACTTAGTGCCTAAGCACCCAGCTTTGCCTCCCTGGGTGTCTGGCTCTCTCCAGGCTGTGAGGTTGCCATGCTGGGGGGCAGCCCTGGCTTCTTGGTGCTCATGCTTTGAGCAGCGGCCTCAGTGCCAAGTGCTTCTTCAGGATCTCGGTGCACTTTAAAATGCACCTTCCTGGTGGCGCAGAAGTTAAAGTGCAGCACTGTGAAACCGTCCCCATCCACTGCAGTATGTGTTCAATCCCCGCCCAGGGAGGTGACCCACAAGGTGCAGCAGACCCCTCCTGTCTTGCCCGCTGCTCCCCTCAGCAGTGTATTTCAGTCAGTCTGCCTGTTCTGCTCCCTACTCTGTCTCTGGGGAATCCTCTCATCCCCCCAACTCTGGCCTGTACCCCAGTCCTTATATGCATAAATAAATAAATCTTAAAAAATAAATTATTCCAGACCCAGAGTTCACAGCTCAACACTGGCATGCACTGAGCACTCAAAGGCCTTGTGTTCTAGAAAGGGAGAGGAAAATATGCACCATGCCATTTAGAAAAGGGGGGTTGTAGACGGCCAGACAGCATCATGGGTGGTCAGGAGTGAGGGACGGTCTGCTCGGTTTAGACACCCATGGAACCAGGACGCAGACTGAGGTGACATTTGCTCTGAAATTAATCACGGAGAACACCAGCTGAGCAGGGGGAAGTGTGAGCCAGTTAGGAACAGCTTGACAGTTTTGTCAGTTTTCCTCAAGTTGCTTTTGTCACTTTGCAGGTTGGTGTCTCCAGACTACCTCACCCCCAGAGTGCGCGTGCCAGAGGCCGGCTGACACGCACACCACGGCCCTCCGCACCCCAAGGCGGCGTCCGTGACAGTGACTGGTGTCTAGGCCAGACAAGGCCCGGTGCAAAGCCCATCCCGTTTAGTCCCCCACCAGTGGGAAATCTGCTCTTGGATTGGCAGGCAGGAGTCTTGGCTTTCTGGAGGCTTTTTTATCCAAATTAAACATAGCCCAGAGCCACCCATAGGACACAGCACTATTGTCCTTGCACTAACAGGTGTGCGTGACGCAGTGGGAACAGCTCAGGTACGCAACCTGCCCCTGCCAAGCCCAGCCCCGCCCCCCCCCGCCCCCCAGGTTTGGACAGGATGAGCAGCAAGTGAATCACTATCAACAAGATGGAGCGACAGCAAGTCCCTCCCAGCTCAGGCAAAATAAAAGTTAATAGTGGGGTCCCTGTTCTGTGTGTGTGAGGCTGTGCCACTGGCCGTGAGGCCCAGGACAAGTCACATAACCCCTCTGAGCCTGACCCCTCACCCGTGACGCCAGCCGGTCCTTTGCAGAAGTGGGGGGAGATGAGTGAGTGAGCAGTCATGGAAAGCTCTAGAGCCTGCCTGCCGCACGCTGGGAGCCTCAGTTGTTCTATGGGGCCGCGTGGGCCCTCCCTGCTGGGACAGGAAGCAGACCAGGCCCAGACCTGGGTGCTGAGGCAGGTCTGGAGATGGGGAACCCCTCTGGGCATTCTGCTCGCACTCACACTCACGCTCGTGCTGGGTGGCTTCTGGTGCCACCCCAGGTCCTGGCCAGAGAGCAAGGAAGCGGCCACCACCTCCCTGGCCTGGAGGACCCGCAGAGAGGTGTTGTGCTGCCTTCCCCAGGCAAAGGGGGCCTGGCGCCCCCTGGGGCTGCCCTCCCGTGCCCCAGCTCTGCCCTAGCCCCACCTCCCCCTACCCACCATTAGTCCAGAAGCTGGGGGTCCTTGGCAGAGCAGATCAGCCAGGCTGGGTACCTAAGGCAAGAATGTCCCCTGCCCTCTGACCCCCACAGGTTTGGGCGGGATGAGCAGCAAGCGAATCACCATCAACAAGATTCTGTCCAACGAGAGCCTTGTGCAGGAGAACCTGTACTTCCAGGTGAGGACAGAGCCGGGACCTGGGGCTGGGGGGGTGGGCAGAGGGCCCTGGGAGGGCCCGGGCAGTGCCCCCTGGCACCTCTCCCGTTCTCAGGACTTGCAGGGGGATGGCACAGGACATGGGCAAGGTCTCAGTGAGCAGTGGGCCCAGCACGCGGTCTTCACTCCTGTGCGGGAGGAAGGGGTGACAACCCTGGGGTGTGCCGATCAGCAGAGGTTGGAGGCAGAAGGGGGGCCTGGGACGGAAAACATTTCAGGCAGTTCTGAGGAGCCAAGGCTCTATAAGGCTAGCGCCTGAATCACTTGGGGGGCCATGCCCTTTTAAAATACAATGAAAGCTACAGACCTGCTCTCCAGAAAGTATGTGCCCCGAAGTTTTGGAGATCAGCAGTCCCTGAAGCTGTCTATGGGCAGATTCCACTTTCTGCGTCTATAAAGCTCCATAATTGTATCCAGAAATAGAAACTAGTCAACAGAGTCACATTAGCTTGACTTAAATCTCTCTTTACTTCCTTGGGCATATTTAAAGTGTCATGTTAAAAAAAATAGAAGACTCATATTGATTTAAACACACAAAAAAATAAGTAGGAAGCTCAGCAGTGGTGTGGCTTTCAGGCACAGGTTGATCAGGGCGATAGCACTCTGGCCATTTCTCTGGACTGAAGAGCATAACTGCAGTAGCTCAAAGTCTCACATCCACCCAGCACACCACCCAGAGAGCTCTTATTTGCGTCCAACAGTTCAGCAAAAGTCTTGTGATTCACTCTGGTTGAGCCGCCTTGCACCAATCACTGCGGCCAAGAAAATTCCAAACACTGATTGGCTCAGTCCTGGGTTATTGTCTATGCCTGAGCCAATCACTGGGACAAGGAGGCGGGGGCAGGTGTCCAGTCTCACCTGGCGGTGCGGGCGAGGTCACCCCATCACCAACTGTTACTGCATTGCTGGGGAGGCAACCCCCAGGGTTCCCAGAGCTCACCTGGCTCTTTGAAAGGGGCTTTATCATAACTGCCCCTGTGGTCATTTCTTGATACCAGATAGATCTGAAACCATACCATGGCCCCCCAATTTTGACAGTAGGGCCTTGAGTCACTCACAGAGGGCTCCCTGTCTTTGGTTCCCTCATCTCTAAGGCGAGGCCAGTGGCGTCCACCTCCCGGGCGATTCGTACATGAGCTCTGGCCTCCAGGAAGGGCGCAAGGAGGGACAACTGCTGACATTCTGCCAGTTGCTCTGTTGTTCCTCCTGTGGAGACTGTTACTGAGCCCTAGTGAGAGAGAGGTGCTTGGCAGGATGCTAGGTGAGCGCTGGAGTTCCCCTGAGTGTTCCTCAGGACGCCAAGGCCTCAGGCCTGATGCTTCAGACACCAGTGGCGTTGACCCAATCTGTGAGGGGTCACCTGCCTGCCCTCCCTCCCGCCTTTCCCCTCGCCCAGCGCTGCCTGGACTGGAACCGTGACATCCTCAAGAGGGAGCTGGGGCTGTCAGAGCAGGACATCATCGACCTGCCCGCTCTGTTCAAGATGGACGAGAACCGCCAGGCCCAAGCCTACTTCCCGAACATGGTGAGGCTCTCCAAACCCCAAGCCCCATGCAGGCCGAGCAGGGCGCGGCCAGATACAGGAGGAGCCCTCAGCCGAGGCTCTCCTCAGGGAAGTGCAGGTCTGGTCCTGGCTGAGCTGTGCGGCACTTCCCCCACCCCAGGGTGCTGGGTTCATCCTAGCGTCTCCCCAGAGCACTGGGGCACCCTTACCCAGGCAGCCAGGAAAACGCTTTGTAAGTCCAAAAGGCCTTTACAGACAGGAGGGATTCGGTTATCAGAGAGGGGGAGTCTTCCACGGGATAGAAGGGGTGAGGACACACACACACAGTAGACGCACACGTGTATGCACCTCACACACATGCACAATGTGTGAACACGAACTACACAGCCACGAGTACACACATGCACGTCCGTGTGGCCATACTGAGGCTGGCTGCTTGGTTTCCGCCATGTCTGTCTGTGAGCCTCCTCTGTGCCTCAGTGTCCTCATCTGTAACGTGGAGATAACCATAGTACCTACCAAATAGGGTGTGTGAGTTTAGAGGGCTTAGACCTGCAGGCACATAGTAGGTGCTCACTAAACAGGTGCCGTGCCCCCTCCTACCCTTCTCCCTCCCC